TTATTGACCTTTTTCAAAAAATATAAAATGTATTAATATTTTAGATTATATTACAATTTATATAATTTATAGTTTTTGTATTTTTTTTTATTTTTATTCAAGTAAATAAATTTGTTATGTTTATATTTGTAATTTCGGTCCAACTTATTTTCTTTTTACTTTTTTTTTCTTTAGTGCTATTATATTTATGTTACGAAAAAATGAAAATTAAAAAAAAAATAGCTTGTTTATTGAAAATTGGTGTTTCAATGTGTTATATAACTTGGAAATTAAATCATATTTTTATATGTGATATCAATAGTTTAAATTCAAGATAATATTTTTCAATTTGATAATAGACTAAAGAAAATAATAATAATAATAATAATAATAATCGGTCTCTATAAAAAACTTGTTATAGTAATTTATAAAAGGTAAAAAAATCAAATTGTTGAAAAATAAATTTAAAAAATGAAAATAAATAAAGTTAATACAAAAACGAAAATAAAAAATGTATATATATTTATAAAAAAACCGAAAATAAATAAAGTATACAAAAAACGAAAAATAATGTTAAAACATCATGTGGTGTAATTTTTGCAAACCTCAGGGACCAAATTTGAACTTTTGGGACTAATTTTGCAAAAAAATTAACCAAGTTAACCATTAAACTCGTTAAATGGGCTAGAGTGATAATTCTGCGAGAAAGTTGTGGCCATAGCAATAATAAAAAAAATATTAGGGCTTTTTCCAATTACGGGTTAAAAATTTAGGACTTTTATAATATTAGTCCTATTATTTTTTGCAAAATAATCATAGTTTCCGAAATGGACCATTTCGGAGTTCATTTCAGATTGTCTATCTCGGCCGACCCATCAAATACCTTCCGGAATGCCTATTCTGGACTAAAACAACTTATTCCCGATTTCGAATTACAAAACCATTTTCCGGATTTTATTCTGACACATTCCGGATCTCGATTTGCAAACCTATTTTGATACATTCCGGACACTACTACACATTTCAGAGTTAAGATATGGAACACGATCATGATGACCTGATTGTTCTACACGTAAATCCTTTACTCTTACACTTTTAGTAGTTTAATTATAAAATTTTTGTTCTTAGAAACCTAGTCTAGAATATGAATAATATGTTCGAAATGCACAAACACATTTCAGACTTGTAATACATGTTAACATTACATCAGGACCAACCCGATACTAGTTTAATTATTTATATTAGGGTATTATATGTGACATCTCCATTTTCACGGTCAGAAAAGACCGATTTTGTTTATTCTTTATAATAAATTAAGAGTAATTCTTTTAAAGAAAGGTATCTGGAATTTGTTCATATAAAAATATAGACAAAAGCTTTTCCGAAAAAATGTATTTTCATTACATTACAAAACCCGGGATGTCATCGTCAATACAGATCAAAAGCATAAACCAAAACAACATAGGCCTTACAACATTTCTAATTATTTCTACTGGCCTATAATCCATAATCTCTCATCAGATCATTGCATCTATGCTCTTGTGTCGCTATCTGTAATATAAGAAACTGAGTGGGTCAGGCTGAGGAGTCTGGTGAGCACATATGATTTTCAACCCACAATAAATAAGTTTATTATTTTCAACAATCATTCAACCCGATTACCCGTTCCCATTATCCTCACTTTACGTCCCTAAAACATGTATTATAAGGGACCTATCCTAAGGAATTTCATCGGGATGGACACTACTGCTAAGGGGATTCCTCAACAATATATGTTTGTAAGGCAACCATGTGGGGGATGGAGTACATCAGTGAACACATCGTTCACAAACACCTACAGGTTGCGAGCCTGATAGAGTTTTACTAGACTTCCTAGAAAAGTTTGTGGTCGTCATCCATACTCCGTTAGATGACTTGATCAACGTCAACATCGAGGCCTCTCATTATTTTATTTCATCACACACCATTTATTACATCTACCCATGTTTTACCAAACATATTTGTAGATATAAAATACATCTGCAGTTTGGATCTAACGAAAAGGTTCAGATTTGAAAACAAAATACATCTACAGTTTAGATCTGAAAACAAAATACATCTACAGTCTAGATCTGAAGAAAAGGTTTAGATCTGAAAACAAAATACATATACAGTTTAGATCTGAAAAACCAAGAAGCTTAAATCTTTCATCTAGCACAGATCTCAAGTAAATATGCACACATTGCATGTAATTTTTATAAAATACTTCATATCTATGTGTAAGATGAAAGTAACTATGCACTCACTTGATAAAGTGGTGATTCGGATAGCGCTTCGCTTCTTAAAATAATCCTCTTGGACGAAACCGGAAGGTTTGCTTGAAAACCGGGCTCTGCGGGTGCAAAGTTTCTAAACCGAAAAACCGTTTTTCTCTGAGCCTTCGGGCGCTCCGGGGTTTCTTCTATTGCTAGGGAGGTTTCCAAGGCTTCGGGGTGGTTTAGGGAGGCTAGAGAGAGAGTAGAGAGAGAAAGAAGTTGTAAAAAGTGTGAAAATTACGAGCTGCCTCGCATCCTATTTATAGTCGGGCGAGGCTTCGGAGCGCAGGGCGTTCCTGCGAGGAGCGCAACGTCCCTCTTCGCAGGGCGTTCCGAGGGTGTACGTGTCCGAAAGTGTTTGGTGCGACATGGTCCATCCGAGGCCTAGTGTTGCGAGAACGCGAGGCGTTCCCTTCGGATAACCTTGAAATGCATACCTCTTACTTCAAAAATTCATAACTTTTGCATACGAGCTCCGTTTTCGACGTTCTTTCTATCCACGCGTAAGTGAGACCGTACTCTACAACTTTCGCTTAGACTCCGTAGGCTAATTTTGAATTTATTTTTAAAGTTATATTTTTAACAGGACGGGACAGAAAAAGTCCATTAAAAATTCATAACTTCTTAATACGACGTCCGTTTTTGTCTGTCTTTTTACCGTTCAACTACTATTGACGAGATCTTCGATTTTCTTTTAGGTTGTGTCGGCTAAAAATCGCTCGATCTATAATTCGAATTCCGGACTACACACTACTATGCCAAATCTTAGAAAATTCATAACTTCCTCATACGAAGTCAGATCTGGACGTTCTTTTTTTTGCATGCTCTCGGTTTAACGTAGACAAAATTGCAAGAATGGTCCCTGTGGTATGTCAAAACTAGCAACTTTGGTCCAAAATGGGTTTGGCTTGCAAGGATGGTCCAATAGTTTCGTTGTGTTGCGAGTTTAGTCCAATTTCCTATGAACTTTTTTATAATGACGGATTTGCCCCTTATTATTTTATTTTCCATTTTTCTTATATTACAACAATTAAAAATAAAACAAAAATAAAATATCTCTCTCTCTCTCTCTCTCTCTCTCTCACACACACACACAAAAGAAAACACATAATTAATCAAGCCTCAAACACTTCTTTCTTGTCGTGTTCATGTTTTGGTGAAGAAATCAATACCACCACCATTATCGAACCCACAACTCAACCGGGTACTCAAGAAAAAAACCTTCATCCTTCAACAGTGAACACAATCAGAAGCAAATTAGGACAAGGGTAGGATTACGAAGATGTTTTGAAAGAGATTCAGAAAATATAATTCTTCATATTTGAAAAATGAAACACAGATTTTCTGCAAACTTACTCATAAGAGCAAAGATAAAGGTTTAACCTCTATATTTGTTGACGAACTGCAAACGATACCCACCCAGGAATGTGATTTGCCCTTAGGTGTTTTACTGTTTCGATTTTGATTTTCTAGGTTTTGAGTTTTTTGGGGTTTGGAGATTCTTAAAAGCTTCGATGAATATAGGAACTAAACCCTAAACCCAACCAAATAAACATTCCTAAAATTACTATCCACTTCAAGAAACTGCTACTTCAACAATCTTGGATTTGTATGGCGGAGGAATCTTCTCCACCGTCACTGTCAACACCTCGTTTCCACACCTTGCGGTGATGGCCGACACGACACAGTGATCATACATTTGGAATTTCCTCATGAGCTTCTCAGGAGGTCTCCTTTCCAATCTAGGGTACTTGCCCCTTCCTCATCATTTTCCTCACGCGTCCATTTCCCATTGCTTCTCACCACCAGTGCTTTCTCATCCTCCACTCTCACCGATAAGGGTTTCAAATTGACGGTGAGAGGGATAATCGGAAAGGACAGTTTCACGGGGATTCTAGGCAGCTAATGAAGGCCATCGGACGGAGATACATTGACGATGTCCATGAGCGGCGGTGACATGGAGTAGATATCCAAAAAACCCCACCTTGGAAACATACATGGAGTCGATTTTCAGAAACTCACCCCTTGTTATTTTTCAGAAACTTTCCGAAACATCCATGAAGTCGATTTCCTGGGTTTTCATCATTGATGTATGGGTTTTTGAGAGGCGATGATGGAATCATGGAGATTAGACCCAGGAACACCTGAATCTGGTATGTACAAACCCATCTTGATTAAGAAGGAAGAGATGAAGAATATGAACTGTTCTTGGGTAAAAAGAAAAAAAATGTGGGGGAAAAGGGTGGAGAGAGAGAGAGAGGGTATTTTATTTTTGTTTTATTTTTGTTTTATTTTTGTTTTATTTTTAATTGTTTTTAATTATTGTAATAAAAGAAAAATGGAAAATAAAATAATAAGGGGCAAATCCGTCATTATAAAAAAGTTCATAGGAAATTGGACTAAACTCGCAACAAAACGAAACTATTGGACCATCCTTACGGGCCAAACCCATTTTGGACCAAAGTTGCTAGTTTTGACATACCACATGGACCATTCTTGCAATTTTGTCTTTAACGTATGCTACGACTTTCGTTTAGATCGCTAAGGCTAAAAAGCACTTTATCGTAAACTCACTTTTTACGTCATGCAGTGTCGTGTCGGTTCTGTCGTGAAACTTCGACATGCCATAACTTCTTCGTTATAACTCGGATTTCGGCGTTCTTTATATGTTCGAGATCCTTGTCACAACCACTACAACTTTCTTCATAGATATCGGGCTTATCTAACGTTTTATTTTTTACGCTTATTTTTATTATACCTTTACAAACAAGTATATAATCACATAAAATCTCATAATTCACATAATATTCAAGTAATTCATCTTTATTATTTTAAAATAGGTTACAATGGTTGACCTTGGCTATTACATCATCGAATTAATGCTTAGCCTCGAAACACGGGCGTTACGTTATACATCAAAAATGTGAATTCCGAAAAAAAAATACCATTTCGGAATGCGATGAAGTAGTCTGGAATACGAAGAACATTCCGGAATGCGAAGATCATGTTTGAAATGTTCATTATGTTTCACTCCGGAACAAAATTTAAACTTATTGAAACTTTCATATTTGCAGCATGACGAGATTTTTGATGCATCAGTTACACTGACTTGCAAACCTACGATCGTTGTGTATATATTCTTGCAGCACTCAAAGATAGACCAACATGTGATACTATGTCTGAAATACATGTTTTGGAAGGTAATTAGATATTCCTGAGGTAGAAGGGGATCCCGTAGTTCTACATTACGTGTTTTTCCATGAAGTTATCACAGAACTTCGAAACGAAGTGGAGGAAATGGTTTTTGAGATTAGGGGTTACAAGCTGTCTTTCGGGAAAAAAAAATTTGTCTTCTCACTGGCTTCCACTTTGGTGACTATTTTCATGCCTCCGTTTTCGGTGTCGCCTTTTGTTCCCGTGTATTTCCCATGATCGCGAAGAATGTCTCCGTGAAATTAGAACAGGTGGTTGATGTGTTTGACAATTTTCTTAATGAGTTATCGGACGAGTATGAGGTCTATACATGTCTTATATATTTGTTAGATAAGGGTTTCAATAGGCGGTTGCCTCGTCAACATGTGATAGATGAGTATTTCGCTTTGCTATCCAACCTTGATGATTTCAACATGTATCATGTTGTTAATTTTTAGTTGTTATTACTAATTCGTGAATGTCGCGAGTAGTTGAGGGAACATGAGATGCGTTTTGTAAAACTTGAATCTACGGTTATCATGCTTCTAAAACTTAATAATAAGGTTGTTGGAGATGTTGTGGGTACCGTAAATGGGGTGGAGGTACTTTGTTAAGTATTTCACTCCCATACATTTTTTATTTAACTTTATGGTACAGTTGTTATTACATCGTTTATAATTAAATACTATTGAATTGTACATACACTTATCATAGATGATGTTGGTACCACATACTATTACTTATGAGAGCATGACTATGGGTTGGGTACACCTGACTAGTCGCCGAATAATGGACCTGAGCAGCCGTCTGCTTATAATCAGTCGTCGGATGTAAAAGAGATTCCCTAGGAGCAATACAAAACGCCTGCAACACCTCTTAGGCATTCTCAACGCCAAAAAAATTATATCTGTATGCTATAAGTCTCCATGGATACATATGAAGAAGAAATGTGTTGCACGACAACAGCCAGCACCGCTGTACAATCTTTTAGGCCCTTCCGTTCACACGTTATATAAAGAACGAGATGTTTCCCTGTTGTTTTTGCATTGTTTTATCATCGGTATACCGACGATTGAGTTTTAGACAAACTTAATATGGATAGTCTGAGTTGGTTGGGATGTGATGTAAGTTATATAATTATGTGATCATTATGTACTAAGCTTCTAATAACAATACTTACTTTATTGTATATATGTGTTGATTGGAAACACATCATGATGTGGATCTCATTGTTGATAGAGTGTAGAGAGGACAATGCTCGGTGGACGTTTGTGCCAACAACTTTCAACACTAATGCATTTGACTGGAGTGACATGATTAACGAATCTATTACCCAGTGTGGTCTGAGTATGATACAGTATAAATATTTTTCGATTACAATACCTACCTAATAGTAATTTATAATATAATGTTATTTTGTGATTACTTAATTCCAACATTTTGTGCAGCTTTACATCCCTCTCAATGTACCGAGTGCTCACTGGTTTTTGGGTGTTTTAGATTTTAAGACATTCAAAATGAATATATACGGTATTCAGTGGAAGAGCGTTCATTTTTCAGAAAATACATCTTGGTTTATAGCTATGCGAACCCGCATCCACAAACTCCAACCGGATATCAAGTATTGGGGTACCAAACCCATTGATGTAATCCCCTTGAGAGTTTTCAAATTCACCCTTAAATGCTCGCAGACGTACCATAACAGTCTGACAATATAGGGGATTATGAGTGTTTTTGTGTTTGTTTATGGATATGTTGATTACAGGGAAATCATACACGATAGAGGGTTCAACCGAAGAATGAGTCATATCATATCGCAAGCGATAGGTGGAATTATTTGGGGTGCTAAGAAAAAATAGGGGTCTATTTGAACGTTGTAGTATTATTATATTTAACTTTATATAATTATTACTTTTGGTAGATTTAAAGGCTTTATGTTATTTTTTACAAAAGAAAAAACCCAACAAAAAAAAATTAGTATTCCGGTAACTCGGAGGTTGCTCCGGAATGACCTGTTCCAAAAAAAAACGGTCTTTTTCAAAAAATTTATAAAAGTTGATTATTTTTTTTGAAAAAACCATTTATATGGATTAGATTACTCGATTCCCCTATGTAGTAAAACTTAGTACTGTTTTATAATATCTCGACAAACAATATTATCAACGTGACTAATCTTATGACTTCCCAAACCATTCATTCCCTCTCAGTATTACCTTTCAATAATTTAAAAAATTCCTTGACGACGCAGAATTAACTAAGAATGGAGATAAACAAAAACAAATATGAAAAACTTAGAATTTCACTAGGAACACTTTTTGTTCTTTCAAAAATTAATTTCTTATTCTTTTATTATACCTATCAACACTCTATTTAATCTTTTTTATAATAATGAATCTAAGACCAATATCTACAATATTAAAGATCTTAATGCGAAAAGGAGACAATTATCGAAGTGATTCTTTATTGTAACTGTATACTATTTTAGAACATGTTGAATACAACCAGACCAACCCAACTAATGGACTGCAAAACCCATCCCATTTAAAGTAGTAAGAAGGAGTCGGCCCAATTGGACCGGAAACACCAGTAGGCCCTTGTCAGTATTTCTTAAGAAAACCGGGTTTTTGATTCCCGCCTTTTTAAATTCATCAGCAAAGCTTAAAAAGGCAAAACAGAAAAAGTGTTGACTGGGCCGGAATGTGGGATTGGTTCCAGACAATCACATCATTGCTGCTTCATCCTAAATTCTTTCCTTTTCATATTAAATCACTACACAAATTCTTACACATTTTTTATCTGAAAACCTGATTAACAACTGTTTTTTGATCGAAGATCAGGTGTCTCTGTGTGATTCCAAACAATCTTCCGATCACATCCATGGCTAATTCACCTGAATCTTCGCGCCACGTACTCTCAGATTTCCGTGCTCCACCACCGTCTCCAGTTGCCTCAGGCCGTCGATCTTCCGTCGCCAACGATGATATACTCACTGAGTTTCTCCGCTCGCTTCACGTGCCTGACCTTGTCTTGCCAGATCGGGCGTTTCCTCGCCAAAATCCGAAGATCCAGAACCTACCCAAACTTGATTTTGGAGCACCAAACGTTTTTGATTTTTCAAATGATCATTTTGCGGAAGTTATTAAAGTCATCGCACAAACAGGCTGTTTTGAACTCGTCAACCATGGAATTTCCGATCGACTTTTGTCTTCCGTGATCAATTCTGGAGCCGGAGTGTTCCAGTTGCCACCGGACAAGAAGTCTGCTGTTTCTAGGTCTGCTGAACGGTTATACGGTTTTGTTGAGTTCCATGGAGACGATAAGGAGTTGAACGAAGAGTTCGTCTGGTGTAGAGACGATTCGTTGAAAACAGAGATGGAGGAAGTTTGGCCAATTCAATATTCGAATTTCAGGTAATTTAATTCATTCATTCTCATCAGCTTTTTTCTGTTGATGACTTGATTCATCGCAACATTACATCATGAAACAAATCTGGATTACAATTGAATTTTTGCAGTGAAAATATGGAAAACCTCATGTCTGAGATCGAAAAGATATCCGAAATTCTACTGAAATTATTTATTGGTTCTGCTACTCCAAAAGTAAGCTTCGGTGATTTTGAAACGAAAGAGAAAGAAATCGATGGATCTATATGTTACATCTACAAGCATCATCAGAATTCAGATTCGGTATCAAATGACGATCAGTATATGGAGTCATTGAGATACGATGTGATCAGAATGCTGATTCGAGGATCCGAACACTCACACACACTCTGCTTTCACGTATGTGATGGATCTTCTGAGTTTCATGTTTACTCCAAGAAAGGCTGGGTTTCGTTTTTACCAGATAAGAATGCGTTGGTCATCACCATTGGCGACCAATTGCAGGTATCGTTTTGGCTAACTGGTTAAGTTTGTCTATACTATATATTTGACCAGTTATTAATAAAATTCATGCTTACCATAATCATATCATGTACAGTATAATTATAGATTATGAATGTTTTTAATATATTCTAAACTTTTGAAAAAGCAACGTGCATCGGACTATTAGAAGAGTGATTTATGGGTAGTTAATTTGTTCACTAATGTGATGCAGACATGGAGTGAAGGAAAATACAAACATGTTATAGGGAGGCCAATCTTCAAAGGGGAACTAGAGAATTATATATCAATGGCTTTTTTGTATAGCCCTCCTCCACCCGTACCTAAAGACAAAAAGGACAAAACGATAACATTTGGACACCAACTCTTTTTGGTTTTGATTTTAATCCTTCTTTACAATATTTTCTCTTATATTTCTACTTAATTAACCAAACATTCATATCATTGTAAAAGTTTTTTCGTTTGTTATTATTTGGCGTCAAGATAGAGGGAAATTACATTGCGTGAGGTATTTATTGTCTAATTATAAAGGAACATATATGGCTTTGTTTGAATATCTATTTTCCATACAACTAGGTTGATATTACCCCTGTTTTGCAGGGATGTAATTTGTATAGTTTCTATTAAGTAGAGATCATTTTTCTAATATTTTTAAACATACAGACCATTTCTATATAAAAAAAAAATCTGTATAAGGATCGTATTCGGCAAAATTAGCTGGTAGCGGGTAACTTGTAGCGGGTAGCTACGTGAAGTAACATTTAGATTTGGAGTGTTTTGTTTAAAGTAAACGCTACAAGCTTGTAGTGTCGAACGAGACTTTCTGTTCAAAACGGAGCGTTTTGTCAAACGATAGAAGCTAGATACTCTCAAACGCTCCGTGTCGAACACTCCCCTATTCTTTAAGTTATAGAGACAATTTTTATAAAATATTTTATACACAAGCACCAAATCTTCCAAACGTATGAAAGTTTTAAACATATAAATTGTTTTTGTAAAAAAGATACACATGGACCATTTTTATAAATTTACAGCGATAGTTTTTGTAATTTATTTTCTATATAAAAACCAAATCTACCTACATACAAAAGTTTTGTAATTTATTTCTCTCTCTCTCTCTCTCTCTCTCTCTCTCTATATATATATATATATATATATATATATATATAT